CACATAATTAGTGAAATGATGTCCACCGGAGTGCAATCTAAGTGTCACATGATCTGTCATTACATATACACACACACACACACCTTTTTTGAAAGGTCCCAGAGGCTGCAACACCTAAGCAAGATGCACCACTAGCTAAACACTGCCATGAAGACCAAGGAACTCCCAAACAAGTAAGGGACAATGGTGTTGAGAAGTACAAGTCAGGATTAGATTATAAAAAAAATATATAAATCTTTGATAATCCCCAGGAGCACCATCAAATCTATCATAACCAAATGGAAAGAACATGGCACAACAGCAAACCTGCCAAGAGACGACGCCCACCAAAACTCATGGACCGGGCAAGGACAGCATTAATTAGAGAGGCAGCACAGAGACCTAATGTAACCCTGGAGGAGCTGCAGAGTTCCACAGCAGAGACTGGAGTATCTGTACATAGGACGACAAATAAGCCGTACGCTCCATAGAGTTGGGCTTTATGGCAGAGCTGCCAGAAGAAAGCCATTACTTTCAGCAAAAAACAAAATGGCACATTTTGAGTTTGCGAAAAGGCATGTGGGAGACTCCCAAAATGTATAAAGGGAGGGGTCTGGTCTGATAAGACTAAAATTGAACTTTTCGGACATCAAAGAAAACGCTATGTCAGGCCCTGGGGAGTCAGCACAGCTAAATGGACAATGGCACATGTATGAGTGTGAGGATGGTGCTAGTGATTGGCTTTATGTGTTAAGGGTGGTGCTAGTGATTGGCTTTGTAGTGGGGCAGGGATCATCTTACCTCACTGCCTTTTGGGATTCTGGCCGGCAAACAACTTCTCTGCCTCTGCACTTCTGTTTGTCCTGGGCCTGGTGACTTTTCCTGCTTGAGTGATGGATATTGAAGGCATCCTGTCTGCCCTCAGAGCTGCTGCTGCCCTGGATAGCAGTAGGCACCTAAGGGAGCAATATGCTCACCTCAACCCTGGCCTGCCCGCCGGTGTGGGTTCAGGAGCACGGGCCAGCGATCCCACCCGCCTGCCTGTCTGTGCCCGGATGCTTCACCTTTGGACCCAGTATAGGAGCCGGAGCCCGGGCCCGATGCACCGCCAGGCCCGCATGTTAGCTCCATCTGACACGTGGCCTGCTTCATCTGCAATATCCCGTGCGCCCCCGGCCTTGGACAGTGGGCCTAGGGTGCCAGAAGACATAATGTGCAGCCTTGGGGGTCTGGGAGGCCTTCGGGGGGTGGAGGGGGCTCTGATGGGTCCTCTGGGGATGAGGGTCAGCCCGGGGGCCCCCCTCTCCTCCCCCGGTTTCAGTCCGCAATTCCCCCCTCTCTCCCCTGTGGTACCCACCTCTTGTCTCCTCTCCCTCTGGGGTCCTATCTCCCTCTGTGTTCCCCTCCTCCTCCCCTTCCTAGCTCTGCTCCCTTTCCTGGCTCTCTCTCTGTCTGTTGCTGGGGGGTCCCTTGCATTGGGTAATCCCCCGGGTGTTGCTGACTTTGCGCGTGGGTCCGCCTATATGTGTTGTTCTGGGCGGGAAAAAATTTGGAGGGGAGAATTTGTTGAGATTTTTTCCCTCCTTCCCATGAAGCAGGCTCCTCCTTTACTGGAAAAGAACGGGAAGGTATCCGACAAAGACAATGAGAAATACCGGTACCGGAAGATCCCTAAGACTTTTGGGAATTGGATTCGCGCATTTGCGATCCTGGCCAGTGTAATTGGGGAAAGGGCTCCATAGAAGTGCTCCGCATTGTTCTGTTACCAGGATACCATTTGGAATGCTTGTCGTACCTATGGCGGTCTGGGGTGGTGGAGATATGATGAGCAATTCCTTCAACAGTTGGCAGTGCGCCCCTAAATTTCGTGGGACCAGATGAACATTGGCCTCTGGCTCTCCATTATGACCCGCCTGGCCCCCCCAAGCAGGGTGGGTTCTCATCTAATGACTCATATCCGGCGGCCGGCCGTCAGAGCAGCTGATGTGGTTCCTGTAATGCCGCGGCCCGCTGGATATGACCTCAGTGCGCCCGCGGTTATCCCTCCTGCACGCTGCACTGTGTACAACCTGCTCAGCAGTCTCGTGTGAGCACCAACACACGCCCCACGGCTCAGCCACACCAGCCCGCGGAGACAGCAGGAGCAGCCGAGCAGGTATCTGTCTGAAATCATCGAGTAAGGAGGGGGAGGGGGAGAGAGAGGGGGGTGCTGAAAAATGGCAGTCAGTGCTGTTATGATTTATGGACACAGCTCTCAGCATGCTTAGCCAGCTTTCTATCTGACTGTGCTTCTTGAGAGTCACAGTCCACAGTGGTAGTTATACTGTACCACAGTCTGTGTCTGGATCGTACCACTATCTTACGTTATAGCCAGGCGTAGATTTATATAAAGTATCTACAACCAGTTTCTTACACAGTGATGCAAAAGAACAGGAGTAAAATGCACATACTTAAAAAGGTGGGCATTCTTCCTGCAGGGTGCTCCAGAAAAGGAAGGGGCAATCCCTGAAGACATCAAATGGAAAAAAATAAATATCCAGGCACAAGTCTTGATAAAGGCCCAGAGAGGAGCGGATGTGTCTCTGTGGCGAAAGTAACCTCGCCACTGGTTTTTGGAGGGGCCTGTTCGCCAGCCTCCTGCCCTGCGACTATGGCCCCCGGGATGTATTGCCCTTCTAGGAACTGATGTGGTCATAATTGATTGTTATTTTGCTGTTTCTGGCCCTTTAATTCCCAGAAAAAGAATTTGTACTTTTAAACCGGCACTTCAGATGCAGTCAAAGTGCCGAAGTCGTCGAAGTGGCCGCCATTCGAATACCGAACACGTGGCGGCGGCCATTTTAACTTATTCGAACACGGTCAGCGGTGTGTGCAGCCCAATCTATGGAACTGTTTTCGGCTACCCAATTGCACAAACACCGCTGACCCGTACCTTCTACTCTACTTTGACACTGCGGATGTAGACCAAGTCCCGTTCAAAGATTCGAACGCTCGTTCCAATGGGACTTAGTCATTTTCTCAGTGTAAAATAGACCGACCGCACAGCCCAAATCCATGGAACTGTTTTGGGCATGAAAATGTGCTTGCGGTCGGTCAAAAGTGACTTATATCTATCTCCCGAATGGCTGAACGGATTCAAATGATTTTTGGGTATGTTTGTATTTGGAATGTGCTGATTAATAATATGTGAGTATTTATTAATATTGGATGTATAGTTTTAGAGTTATGAAAGTTGGGTAAAAAGTATGTTTTAAAATGTACGGATAATTGGGTTACCTCTCAGGCTAAGGGGAGGAGATGTGTGGGATGTAACCATTGTGTGATTGGGTATTGTATAATTGTCTGTGGGCGTCTCCCTTGCATGGGAGAATTGCATAAAAGCAGAGTGTGTGTCATTAAACCAGAGTTCTTCTTTACCCTCAGTCTAGAGTCCTGTCTCTTATTGGGGGAATTGCTATATCACTACAAGGGATTGCTAAGCTCTGCATGCTCCCTTGGATAATCACTTCTAAGTTCTTATAAGAGCTTGTTCCTGTTTCACTCTCTTGGAGGAGAGGTTCACCCACTGGAGCCTGGAGCCTTGTCGTAGGTCCAGGGTGGGTAGGAGACGGCGAGACCCCAACCAAGCTGCGGCGGTTCATGGGGTCTGCGGTGGTTGTGGTGTCTGCGGAGTGCTTGGAGCCCTCTGTAAGCGCTAGGAGCATCCTTCAACGGAGGTACCCAGTCGGGGTGCCAGGTGATCTGTTACAGTCTCCAGTTCCTTGTTTCAAATAAGACTGCCTTTTAAAATAAACCTCAGGTGTGCCTGGATATTTCTTTTTTTCCATCTTACACAGTGATGAACAGAAACATCAAGCCTTTCTCTCACATTTTTGAGAGGCAAGCTTGGGCCCTGTGTTTTTTACACAGTATTACTTGTGGCGAAACCGGCCTCGCCACGTGTCCTTGGAGGGGGCTGCTTGCCCGCCTCTTGCCTTTGGACTATGGACCAGACTTTATGTGAATGTGTTAACACAGCTAGCTATGCCATGGAGCCCATTCGTGTAGTTAAAGACTTTGGCTCCATGGCAATTGAACTGTGTGAATAGGATCTGAGCGCTATTCGGTAGTTTTGTGCGCTCAGATCCCAGCTATCTGAAATGTCTGTGTGTTATGTGTAAAAGGTGACTTTATGTATTTTAAAGTGTTTTGTGTCTTTTTGCAACCATGTGCTTAATGGAGTCTTGTGTCTGTCCTGGGAGATAATTGAATTACTTATCTCCAGGATAGAAGACTCTGAAACTGGTTTGGGCCAAAAAGCCATGCTTCATTTAGTCACAAAGGACTTTTTACTAACTTTTGAACCCCTTGTCTGATTTGTGCCATTTTGAATATGTTGTTCCCCTGAATGGATTGATTGTGAATATGTAATTTTATGTGAATGTGATGTATGGTTTTGGAGTTATGAAAGTTGGGTAGAAAGTATGTTTTAACTGTATGTATAATTGAGTTTCCTCTCAGGATAAGGGGAGGGAATATGTGGGATGTAACTGTGATGTGATTGGTTGTTTTATACCTCCCTGTGGGCGGTCCTGTATTTGCAAGACTGTAATTAAAACCAGGCTGGGTGTGCCAGCACCTGAGTTCCTGTTTTAACCCTCAAAGTGAAGTGTCGTCTCATTATTGGGGGAAGGATTCATTGTATGCTGTTCCAGTTTGACTGCTAGGAGAGTAAACCTATTCGTATGGTTCCTATTCAACTGTCTACAGCATTCATATGCTTGGGAGGATTCATATGCTTCTCCGGTTCGGTGGTTGTGGTGTCTGCTGCAGTGCTTGGAGTCCTCAGGAAGCGCTAGGAGCATCCTTTAACGGAGGTACCCAGTCGGGGTGCCAGGTGATCCGTTACATTGGTGGCAAGCGGTGGGATGGCGTCCTAGTGCGAGGTAAAGCAGCTCAGAGACACAGTTTGTTTGGATTTACAAATTGAAGGCGACGCTAGTGTTTATACAGCGTCCCTGTCTACATAAAGATTTGGGAAAATGGGGTTCGTGGATCCTTGGGCAACACGCACACCTGAGGAAGAGAGTGAATTGGAATGGAGAGATATTGCCCGGCAAGAACTATGGTACGATGCCCTGGAGGAAGTCCAGTATCAACGGCAGCAGCGCCTTCCTGGTGTCGCATACCGGTTGGAGGAACAAATGGCCTGGCGGATACCGCTTCTGGGAGACCAACCCGGAGGGCAGCAGGTCAGACAACTTGAGTACCTCGTGGAAAGGGAACTGAGCCTTGACGCCTCATACCGGGCACTGTGGTGGTGCACTGTCCAGCCAGAGACGTGGAGGGCAGAGGGCATCCAGCCGCAGGGGGAGAACTACACTAGCCCTGGCCTGTTGTGGAAGGCCTTAGCAGAAGACGTCGACTTTGGCAGTCCAGCAGAGTCACGGTACTGGGCTATCTTTTATTACCGAGGTGAGATGGTACAGGGCCCGAGATCTATGGGACTGGGACAAGACCTCCACCGTTTGGCTGCCATGGAACGACAGCTAGAGATGGACTATGTGGAACTACTAAACTCATGTCAGCCACAGGGCATGGACACAGAACAGGAAAACTGGCTGGGGGACCCAGACCTGCCAACCTACAGCTGGGAAAACGCAGCCGAGGTACCCCCTGCTTCACTACCAGCTGCAGAAGTAGGGGACCTCATAGACTGGTCCTGGGAAGACCCACAAATGGCAGGTGGAGATGGGATGGCGGTCTCTCTACCGGCCCTACAGGGATGCTGGGCGGTCGGCCCAGATCTCCAGCGGCAGTATGTATCACAGGGAGCTGAAGGTGCTGTCCTTCCTCCCCAGCGGCAGTGTGAGTTCCAGGGAGCCGAAGGTGCTATCCTTCCTCCCCAGCAACAGTGTGAGTTCCAGGGAGCCAAAGGTGCTGTCCTTCCTCCCCAGCGGCAGTCTTTTTCCCAGGGAACGGAAGGTGCAGTCCTTCCTCCCCAGCGGCAGTGTGTCCTGCAGGAAGCGGAGACAGTCTGTCTTTCACCCCAGCCGCAGGACAAAATATTGAAAGGGGAGACAGTTGGTCCCCCTCTCCACCAGCAAAGAGAGTGTCAGGGAGAGGAGCAGGTTACCCCCTCTCCCCAGCGGCAGTCTACAGTTCAGAGAGAGGAGCTTGTTACACCCTCTCTCCAGCGGCAGCCTAACCCACCAAGGGGAGATGTTAAGCCCCACAACTATGCAGATGGGACCGTAGTCTCTGCACTTGCAGCACCAGGGGTAGGGACGGTCGGTCCTGTCCCCAGCCACAGAGCAGTGTATCCAGAGGGGAGACAGTCGGTCTCCCCCTCCCACAACCAGGCTCCAACCAGGCTACTTCAGTGGTAGCGCTGGCACCCGGGCAGAGTACCGCTGGTCTCTGCCCACTCAGCAACCCACCAAGGCATTCTACCAGCCCCCCGTACAGCCGTGGTGAGGCACCTGGACACGGACAACTTGCTATTTTATCCAGGTGTAGTAACCAGTTATTGTGGGTGGGCTGTATTGCTGTTTGTGCTTCGTGGGTGGGTTGCTGGACTAACCAGGGCACTGACCGGCAGGAGGTCAGATACCCTGTTAGTCTGGATGGTAAAGGGGAGAAATGTGGCGAAACCGGCCTCGCCACGTGTCCTTGGAGGGGGCTGCTTGCCCGCCTCTTGCCTTTGGACTATGGACCAGACTTTATGTGAATGTGTTAACCCAGATAGCTATGCCATGGAGCCCATTCGTGTAGTTAAAGACTTTGGCTCCATGGCAATTGAACTGTGTGAATAGGATCTGAGCGCTATTCGGTAGTTTTGTGCGCTCAGATCCCAGCTATCTGGGGATATGTGAAATGTCTGTGTGTTATGTGTAAAAGGTGACTTTATGTATTTTAAAGTGTTTTGTGTCTTTTTGCAACCATGTGCTTAATGGAGTCTTGTGTCTGTCCTGGGAGATAATTGAATTACTTATCTCCAGGATAGAAGACTCTGAAACTGGTTTGGGCCAGAAAGCCATGCTTCATTTAGTCACAAAGGACTTTTTACTAACTTTTGAACCCCTTGTCTGATTTGTGCCATTTTTGAATATGTTGTTCCCCTGAATGGATTGATTGTGAATATGTAATTTTATGTGAATGTGATGTATGGTTTTGGAGTTATGAAAGTTGGGTAGAAAGTATGTTTTAACTGTATGTATAATTGAGTTTCCTCTCAGGATAAGGGGAGGGAATATGTGGGATGTAACTGTGATGTGATTGGTTGTTTTATACCTCCCTGTGGGCGGTCCTGTATTTGCAAGACTGTAATAAAAACCAGGCTGGGTGTGCCAGCACCTGAGTTCCTGTTTTAACCCTCAAAGTGAAGTGTCGTCTCATTATTGGGGGAAGGATTTATTGTATGCTGTTCCAGTTTGACTGCTAGGAGAGTAAACTTATTCGTATGGTTCCTATTCAACTGTCTACAGCATTCATATGCTTGGGAGGATTCATATGCTTCTCCGGTTCGGTGGTTGTGGTGTCTGCTGCAGTGCTTGGAGTCCTCAGGAAGCGCTAGGAGCATCCTTTAACGGAGGTACCCAGTCGGGGTGCCAGGCGATCCGTTACATTACTAATTCCCCAATAATTCTCCTTTTCTTTTTTAAACCTTTTAAAATTAGGGAACATGCAACATGGTGGGCAGGGCCGGTGCTGAAAGGTTTGAGGAGGGGGCGGGTGCCTATGCGAGACTCGAGGCGTCCTGTCTCGGGCCCGCTCCTAACTGCCTTATGTGAAGCGTTGCACGGGGTGTGCCATTCGGAATTTGAATATTTCGCCTAGCCTTTTCCTTGGCATTCTTTGGGGCTATGCGGATTGGGGAGCTGGTGTGCCCCAGCCGGCAGCAAGTGTGTGGGGGGGGGGGTGCTGTTTGGTGACGTTTCATGTACCGCTGACTGGATCTCGTTCAGGATTCGCCGCTCTAAGACGGATGTCTTGGGGAGGGGTAAGTGGGTCCGGTTGGGGTCCGTGCCAGGTTCCGGCATCTGACCTGTTTGGTCCTTTGGGGAATATTGTGCTCTGCGCCCTTCCCCCGCGTTGCCACTCCTGGTACACGGGGATAATAGTTTCCTTTCCCATTTCCAGTTTATTAGAGTTTTTCGTTTGGGGCTGGAGGCTGTGGGATTGGATAGCAGGGAGTTTGGGGGCCATTCGTTCCATATTGGGGCGGCTACCGAGGCCTCGAGGCTTGGCATGCCGGCGCAGGTAGTTCAAAGGATTGGTAGGTGGGACTCAAGACGTTATGTTTCCTATGTTCGTCCAACCGGTTTATTGACATGATTTCTCTCCGCAGTTTCGTTTTCCCCCAGAATCTGGATCATCGGACACTCCTATGTTTACAGGGAAGCTTTCGGCGTGCGGCCTAGAGGCGAAAGGTTGGGTTTCACGCCTTCCGAAGCAGAGGTACGATGGCTCGGGCCTTGGGGTATGAGGTGGTCCTGGCTCCTACCCGAGTTAGCGCAGTTGTCCCATATCCTGGGGGTGCCGAGTGTCCTGGTGATCCACCTGGGGGGGAATTATCTGGGCGTGGTGCCCATTTGGGACTTGATTTTGGCGGTGAAGCGGGACCTAGCCCGCATTCTGAATTTGTTCCCCGGGGTGCGCCTGGTGTGGTCTGAGGTCATTGCCCGTAACTACTGGCATGGCGCCAGGAGCCAGAGTGTTGCAGACGCAAGCTAAACAGGTGGGTTTCCCAGTTTGTTTTGGGGGCTCGGGGGATCCCGGTCCGGCACAGGGTTTTTGAGCGGGAGGCGGCTCATTTTTTTCGGGGGGACGGAGTACACCTAACGGAGGTCGGGCTCGACCTTTTCAATCTCGCCCTTCAAGAAGCTGTGGAACAGGCCATGGGAGGTTTTGGTGGGGTTCCCCGCTGATTTAGGGGTAATCAAGTTTGAGGGGTTATGTCTAAGGATGGACTACGTTTTTATGTTTTACAGGTCTCAACCTCCCCTGCTTAAAAGGTTAAACATTAGGTTGCCTGAGGTATCGTGCCTATCGAGCGTGGATAAGGTCGGCTGATGGTGGGCATTGGAAGGACTTTTTATGACGAGGGGGGAGAGGAAGTGGAGATTAGGAACCACTGGATGTTTATTGGCAAGGACGGTTGGGTTTCTGCATAGCACGTTTTGTTATTATATGTATATATGTTAATTTATGATTTTTTATTTCTAACAGAAAGAAGAGTTTAATAAATAAAGTTATGGATGTGTTATGCAGTAATTTATTTATGTTATAAGAAATGCTGTGGCCTGTTTATCCATACTAAGTTGTCTGTCGTTATTGTTTTTTTTTTTATTGGGGTTATCTATGTTATGTGGTATCGTAATTCCCCACTACGTACATACAAGGCCCTGGGGAGATAGCGCAGCTAAGCGGACAAGGGCACATGTAGGAGTGTGGGGATAGATACAGGGGAGGGACTTGGGAAGTGTGCATGGGAGGGGTTAGGCTTAATGTAAGTTAGTGTGGGGGAGGTCTTACCTCAGTGCCACTTGGGATACGGGACAGCAAACAGCTTCCCACCCACCCCTTTTAGTTTCAGTTAGTCACAGCTAGGCGGGGGTATGTCCTTGCCAAGCAAGTTTGAGGGATTATGTCTAAGGATGGACTAAGTTTTTATGTTTTACTGGTCTCAACCTCCCCTGCTTAAAAGGTTAAACATTAGGTTGCCTGAGGTATTGTGCCCATCGAGCGTGGATAAGGTCGGCTGATGGCGGGCATTGGAAGGATTTTTTATGACGAGGGGGGAGGTGAGAGGAAGTGGTGATTAGGAACCACTGGATGTTTATTGGCAAGGACGGTTGGGTTCCTGCATAGCACATTTTGTTATTATATGTATATATGTTAATTTATGATTTTTTATTTCTAACAGAAAGAAGAGTTTAATAAATAAAGTTATGGATGTGTTATACAGTAATTTATTTATGTTATAAGAAATGCTGTGGCCTGTTCATCCATACTAAGTTGTCTGTCGTTATTGTTTTTTTTTTATTGGGGTTATCTATGTTATGTGGTATCGTAATTCCCCACTACGTACATACAAGCAATTGAAGCCCTTATCAGGAGAAAAACATCTGGTCAATGCATAGACAAAGATCTTGTTAACCAGTTTGAGAATCAGAAAAAATATTGACACAAAACACTTTGCCATATCCTGAGCATTATAAAGCTCCTTTCATCACAAGGTCTTTCTTTTTGAGGAAGTAATGAAGTTATTAGCTCAGTACACAATGGGAATTATTTGGGCAGTCTTGAGCTGTTAGCGGAATATGATCCATTCCTTGCTGAACATATTCAAAAGCATGGCAACAAGGGAAGAGGTCACATATCGTACCGGTCATCAACAATATGTGATGAGTTTATTGAATTGATTGGTCAGCAAATGCTACAGCAGATTGTAAATGAAATGAAACAAGCCAAATATTATTCAATTTCTGTTGATTCCACCCCTGACATTGCACATTCTGATCAACTGACCATTATATTTCGATATGTACTTGCCAGTGGTCCAGTGGAGCGTTTTACTAAATTTATCCCAATATCTGGACATACTGGTACTAGCAAACATGGTTCTTCAATTTCTGGAAGAAAATGATATTTCCATCAAAGACTGCAGGGGCCAGTCATATGATAATGCATCTAATATG